CTTTTTTTCTGGCAACAAAACAGGGGTTAAGATGTTAATACACCAAACTGAAACCTTTTTACAAGGAATCGTCTGTATTAATCACAATGCTTGTGGTCAGAATGCAAACAAAAAAACATACTCTGATAATACATTGTCCTTGAAACTGATTGATCCACACCAGAGACGGCTTTCTTTAATGCAGCCATGATTCCTTGTAAAAAGGTTTCAGTTTGGTGTTTTAACAACTTAACACCTGTTTGTTGCCAGAAAAAATAGTAAAACCCTATTATCATATTTTGGTACTGGCAAAGGAGGTCCCATGAAGGTATGTGTATTTTTGCCAATGCTACGATCAGCATGTATAATAAAGAGGGCATGTGGTGCAAGATTATGCATGATTGGATACCTGGTTCCAAGTTTAGCAGCAGTGCGTAAACAGGCTACAAAGTAATTATGAAATTATAAGCTTGTATTTCAGGCAAAAGCCACGCTTTAGAGCAGTCAGAGTAAAAGGTGTCGCATGTGAATGTGATTTGTAAAGCAGTCTTCAGCAATCACTCTATGGCTCTACTTTGGAGAAGAGCCATTGCCCAAGATCTTAGATGATTATACATAGTTTTTAGTTATGCGTGAGTGTTATTACCAAGTTAGGCCACATGTAATACCATTTCCTGTTTAGTATACTCTCATACATCCAATTTAAGAGACGTTAATAATAACATACATCCTTTTGTACTTCCACTTTTGAATGACGGCCTCCCCACGCCATGCCGATTATGGGGGTTGTTTGACCATTAACTGTTTGTATTTACCAGGTAAGGCCCACTGAGCTATATAGCTTGTTTTCACAAGCGACCTGGCCACAAACGATATCTCAATGAAGTTGCTTATTAAGTGGAAATCTATTGCAGCCAACTACTCAAAGCACATGTTTCTAAATGTGGAGGGAACAACGGAGGACCGGGAGAAAAATCCGCACGACCACGGAGAGAGACACGCAAACTCCAAATAAACATGTGTCTTGGTCTGGATCGAACCCACGACCTCCTGCTTACCAGGCGAGGGAGTTAATATCTCGCCACCGCGTTGCCCCCATACGTCATCATGCTGGTCAGTACGAGTTGGTGAAGCTTGGGAGGGGGCACACCTGAACCGGTTCAGATATCACATACCACTGATGGTTGCCGTGGTGGGGAATTAAATTCAAAGTTCAGAGTGCAGTGCACTGACCACTTGCCCACCCCTTCCCCACAACCCCATCACCCAAGGCATTTTATCCCATTATTTAAGCAGTGCAATGGTGGTGCACCAGGATACAGTGGAATTATGCATATTGTACATGGTATTATTACTCTCCCATGCAGTAGCGTTCACATATTTTGTTTAAGAACAGTCAACGGTAATAAATAAACAGCACAGCACTGTAATAGCTTAGGCAGGGCTAGCACTATCTGCATAACATTTATCCAGTGTTTGAATAAGGGATAAGGTTTCCAAATGCACACACAGTCCCTCACAAAAAAAAATCTCCTTTGCGGTTGAATTTAATTATCTTGAAAATTATTACCTAAATCTTGACTTAAAGCTTTTCGTGACTCCAGGAATTCATATTCTTGGGTCTTTCGATAAAGCCACGTAGATAGGTTCAAATAAAATTCCATTTTTAACCGATCTACGTGACTTTACCGAAAGACCCAAGAATAATGATTATCTACTGCGTTAATTTCAATGAATAAAGACAACTAAAACACTGCAAAAAAAAATCACTATCATAGTTGGAAAACACAAAAGGAATGCGTTTTTTTATTTCACCACACATACCGGTTTAATTTGCAGTTCTGGGAATTTGGTTCATTCGCAGGTCATACAAGTCACATTGGTTTGCCTCACAAACCTGGGCACGTGTGTATGCTCATAGCATCTAAATAAATGTATAGTAAATTGTTAAAATAAATAGGCTTTATTAGGATTTCACAATAATGGGCTCGACTAACGTGTAATCTGGCATATTTATCTAACATGTTTATAACCGCTCACATAATCCAGGGTGCAAAGGCATGTGTCTTGTTCCCTCCAGGCCAGTTTACGCATTGTTGTACATTAATTTGTCTTTGTGGAACTGTTAGTTTTGAAAACGTATTGTGATCGGTTTGTTGCCTTAGAGGCAGTGGGGACGCTTACAAGCAGCTGTCGGCGTGTTCTACTGTTTGCATCTTGTTCATCGTAGCTCCCCGTGTGACACACTTGGTCACATATATGTTACAGCAAGTAGCAGCTTCCGCGAATCCTCCAATTAAATACCTTCACCGAGTGCCTTGGCTCGTTTGCACATTTGGGATATAATTTGTGAATAATAAAACAAAGTTACATTGCGATTTTTTCAGTATTTTATTTTATGTGTATTATACTTTTATGGTTTTTTTTTAAACTTTCTCAGCTGGAAAATGCTGTCCATCTCGTCCTGCACTGTGTGTATTCCATTAGGTTTTACGAGGCCGTTAGCTGTTTCTTCGCTTTATAAGAATCCCTATTTCAGAAATTTTAAAGGTTTATGTGATAAGTTTTGCGATGAAGTAAGGGTAAGTATTTACTTTTGGAAATTACAAGGTATAGGTTACTACATGCATAAACGGAAGTACACATAAACACCATATACATTTTCATGCAGTGACTCAAAGCCTTTAACCTCATATATGCTGTAAGCATTTACAACAAGATTAACATTCCTTCAGCTTCACTACGCTGTAGGGTTGTAAAACAGGACATTTCTTTAGTTTTGCCATATGAAAACTAAACATAGAACCCTATTTTGGGGTTTTTTCACACAATTGAGTCTTGGAGTAGGGTTTGGTTGTCTAACAAGGCTGCTACACTCCAATCACATCTTCAGAGCAGACTGAGTACAGGTGACCCCTGTCTTACGACGGCTCGACTTGCGACTCCCCGCTTTTACAACCTTTCTTATATTCATTAAGACCCCCACAGTAACGACCAAAACTCATATCTACTACCCACCAAACAACTGCTACCGACGCCAACTCGAGCAGCTACAAAATGGGACCTTATTTGCCAATATATTTGCTGCTCGCACGGAGCGATAAATGCCCTGATAGTGCATTGTCTTTGCCCTTTTTGCCTTTTGGGTTCTCTCATCTGACACTGGTGATGAGACTGGGCCCTAAAGAAGGCTATCTCTGGTGTAGACCAATCAATTTCAAGGACAATGCATGTATTATCAGGGCATGTTTTGTTTGCATGTTCACCACACACATGTGTGGTTAATGCAGACATGATACCTTGCAAAATTTTTATATTTTTTATTTGAACATGTTAACATCTGTTTTATTGCCATAAAGGGTAGAACCTATTCTTGTTTTTTCATACTTTGACACTGGCAAAAAAGGTTCTAGATATGTGCCCTGGAAGGAATTTAAATGCCCCTACAGCCCAATCGCATATGAGACTAATAATTTTACTTATAATCTTATGCATACCTATTGTGTTGCAATCTGGCTCCAAGAGACAAAAAATATATAACTTAAACGTGATTTTTGCTTTTATTATTTCGTTATATACTGATAGTATTGATGCAATTGCTGTTTATAAAAAAACAGGGTTTCCACATATGTCTCTGCTATGCTACACAGTGATGTGCTGTGTGCCTCTCCTTGCTCACATCTATTCTTGCTATTTTCTCCGTTTGCTTTCACTGTGCTCACTGTCTCCTGTGTTCCATTCTCTCTGCTTTCTTTCCACTTGCATGGAAATCTTAACACTGCAACTACTGAATTGTAAATTGGGCTTCACTACATTAGCCAGAATTTATGCCTGGACCCCTTAGAACTGCCAGTTTTTAGCTCATGGAGTGATCCACGAACAGTCCTGGCAAGTTTCCAGGGTGTGAATCACTACCAAACTGACGTTGTATGATCTACCCAGGGAATGCCCCTCTTAAAATAATGTTTTTTGAAACCTTTGAGACCTGCCAACATTAGCTGGGGAAGAGTGAATTGGGCATAGCAAGGACACACCCCTTGCTATATTCTCCACCACAGGTGGATCAAAAAAATGCTCCGTCAGCTTCGTCTAATGGATTATCTGACTCAGGGAGTTTGGCTAATATCCACTTGGCAGATATCAGCCAGATTCACGTCCTTGTGTCTTTTTTTGGCTTAGTTGTACCAAAACAGAGCTCCCAGCCAGGTTTAAATAGTCCTTGGCCAACATTTGAATTGCACCCTTAGTTTAATTTTATCAAAATGGCAGCGTCTGTATTCCATGCTGAATTCGTAGTACTGTTTTGCAAGTAGAATAGAGTTTGCAGACAAATGATTCAAGTCCTGTGACATCAGCCTCATAAAAAAATATTAAGTCCATGTGTGCTTTCCATTGATGCAGTGATTGATTAACAAACAAAACAAGATTCCATTTGTGTACTATATATATTTGAATATGTTAAATGCCAGATTAAGCGAATGCAATTTACACTCGCACATACCATATTAAGTTGCTTTAAGAAAATAGCGTTTAAATTTTTTTACCATTTCTTTATCAATATTCATGAAATTATCTCAGAAATTTCACTCCTACTGTGTCGACATGCAGGAAAGTGCCATTGTGGTTAATGCACTTTAACGTTTTATATAAATATTTGGATAATGACAGGCCAATTGATTTGTTTTCATTGTGTAATAAGTGGATCCGACACAATAAGAACTTAAGTCGTTTATTAATGAATCTTCGGTACAGCTTGGTTGTCTCTCGTCTCTCTCTCTCACTACGGTATGATTGCCGCCCAAGCGGCTTCGCTGCCCCGCGCCATGTGGCACTCACCCACTCTCTAACACGCCGCTGGCTGACGGTGCGCTCGGGAGCGGTTGAGCGTTTGGATATCGAGCCGCCAAATGGCTGATGGAGATGGCGGGGCAGCAGAAACGGGGAGCTCCTCTTGATTCTTCACACCGACCCCGCTCCTTGCTCCGGCCCCCGCTTATATATGCTCCCCGGCGACTAAACCCCGCCTCTGGCCAAGCCCCTTATGGAACCTTCGGAAACGTTCTAGAGGCTTCCCGGGTGGCTCCGCCCTTTCACCTTTGCTCTAGATATAAACCCTTACCCCAGATAAACCATAACTGCATAGCATACAACGCCCCACATAATAGAGGAGATGGCGCTCTCATTACATCACCCCCCCCCCCCCCCGTGATAAAAAAGGAAGGGCAAGGCATAATGTAGAGTGCCATCAATCATGAAGTGCAACACAATTAGACAAGAGAGGAACGGAACATCAACAGAACAATGCAATAGAACCAGTAGCACGCAATAAGGGGCCCAACTGCTTCAGGAAAAACGAGACGTTTTAGAACGTGTGTGCATAGCCGGCCCATCCGCCAGAGGCGGAAAAAGAAGAGGAACTCCGGCCGGTGGAAGCAGAGGTCCAGCAGGGGGCAACACAGCCGGATCCAGCACAGGTGGACCAGATGGAATAGCGGCATCCTCCAGTCCCGTTGTGTCAATCAGGGGCGCTGTGGGCGGTAAAGAAACAGACTCCGGAAGATCACCTTGCACAGGAGCAGCAGGCCTGTTGGCCACATCAGGCACCAGGATTCTGGGAGGACGATGGCCCCACGGGAGCAACAAACTGTTTCAATCGTGATAGGTGATCGTACCAACGCCGGCGAGCATGACAAACCCGGACACCTCAACGATCGTAACGGGCCCCTGCCATGGTTTGTGGAGCTTAGAAGAGGTGCCAATAGGCACCTGTGGACAATGAAGCCACGCCCGATCACCCACTGACCATGGCATGTCTGACTTAAACCTCCGTGCACAACGCTCATTCCGAGCCTGGGTCTTAGAAGTATTCACCCTGGCAGCCTTCCTAGCCTCGGAAACACGTCAAAGGGACTCGCGGATGTGATCCGGAAGAGTCGACTTAGGAGACAGCACAGGGGAACCTAATTGGACATCAACAGGTGGCACATTTTCCCTCCCATACATGAGGAAGAACGGTGAATATCCTGTAGAGGCGCGAAGCACCATCCAGTAGGCAGAGAGGATGCTGGATATCTGAAGATCCCAGTTGATCTGTCGCTCATTAACGGTCTGGCACAACATGGCGGACAAGGTACGGTTTAGACGCTCGACCATACCATCCATCTGATGGTGGTAGGGAGATGTCGAAATTTTCTTGGAACCCAGAATAGTGCAGGCGTCACGCAACAATTTAGAAGTGAAATTCCTACCCTAATCAGTAAGCAACTTTTCTGGAGCCCCTATATCCATCACATAGCTATTCACGAAGGCATCCACGATGGATAAAGCAGAATGATTTGGCAGGGCCCACGCCACTGGCCAACGGGTAAAAAAAATTTACGCCAACGAGAATACATTTATTCCCACGAGGCGTCACGGGGAATGGTCCTGACACATCCAATGCAACCAATTCATTGATGCGAGTGACAGAGATGGACTGCAAAGGCGGAATGTAACGCTGCCGGCGTGACTTTCGCCGGGCACACTCGGTACATGAGCGGAGCGTTCCAATGACGTCAGATGTCATACCCGGCCAATAGTAATCCCTCTGAAGGTTAAGCAGCATTTTCTGAATGCCAAGATGAAAAAGGCGTTCAGAGTGCAGTGTGTGGATCAACCCTGCACGTAGAGAATTCGGTACAACCAATCTCAGCTGGAGCGACATGTCATCCTGCCACATCAACAATCCATCCAGAACAAAAACACAGCCCTCCTCAAAAAAATTCGGATCACCCCCAATTGGTAAGGCCTGATCACGCAAAAAGGCCAGGGATGAGTGAGCAAATTGTTTCCCGCATCCACACCAACCGTGGAAGATGCAACACGTCGTCGGCAGGGGGAACTGCCCCATCGCCAGAAAGCGTCACAACCGAGGACACGTCCAACGGCCGAGACTTTCCTGGAGGAGAGCAGCAATTTGTACCAGAATGGCAAATACACTGAGACACGTGAGGTAACCGAGACAGCGCTTCAGCGTTTGCATGACAAGTCCCTTTCCGGTAGGTGACATCAAATTAGAACTCCTGGAAGCACTCAAACCAATGTGCCAACTGACTTCCCGGCTGCCCGATCTTCAAGGAATATTGGAGGGCAGCGTGGTTAGTGCATATAACGAATTGTCTACCATGTAAATAAGGCTGAAAAAGTTTAACAAAATGAACGATCGTGAGCAGCTTCCGATGAATGACACAATAACGGGTTTCTGCCGGCGAAAGTACCCGACTACCATACGCAACAACACGCTCGACGCCCCCCTTCATCTGTGACAGGACAGCCCCGATACCCGTGTCACTGGCGTCAGTGTCGAGGATGAAGGGGGAGTAGTCGAGAGTAGGCGTGTCCGACAGGCAATTATGCAAGGCATTGAATCCAGCCTCCTCTGCTGGACCCCATTGGAACCTCTGATTTTTGCCTGTAAGCGCATGCAACGGCCTAGCAATGGACGCAAATCCAGGAATGAACCGCCGATAATAGGAGGCGAAGCCAACGAAGCTCCGAACAACCCCTATACTCGCGGGGACCGTCCAATCGCGGACACACGCCGTTTTGTCAGGATCGGTCGAAATCCCGTCGGCACTCACAACATGACCCAAATAACGTACAGAAGTCTGCAAAAGATGACATTTTTTTGGTTTAAATTCGAAATTAGAACGCATGCGCTCAAAGACAGCACGAAGTCGGAGGAGGTGGTCATAAAACATCAGACTGAACACGATGACGTCGTCCAGATAAATGAGACAAGTGTCCAATTGGAGTCCGGCCAGGACAAGTTCCAAACTCAAAAAGACCCTGCGGGGTACAGAACGCGGTCTTCTGCCTAGAGGACTCGTCGAGGGGCAGCTGCCAAAAGCCGGAAGAGAGATCCAGGGTAGAGAAAAACCGCGCCCCGGACAATGCATCCAAGGAATCATCCATCTGCAGTAAAGGATACGCATCTGCCACGGAGACCTTATTAAGGCGACGAAAATCAACGCAGAACCGGAGGTTGCCATCCTTCTTCTTAACCAAGACTACCGGGGCACCCCATGGACTAGTGGATGACGAAATTATATCAGCGGCCAACATGTCATCAACGGCGCGCTGCACGCTCTCCTTTTCTGATGGCCCCATACGATGTGGGTTCAACCGAATGGGGCTAGCATCACCTGTCTCAATGTGATGGGACAGCAAGGACGTTCGACTCAAGTCTAAGTCGTCCTTGCTGAACACATCGGAAAATTCGGACAACAACATACGCAACCCTTCACGCTGAGCTGGAGACGGAGAAGCATTTTCGCCGCACAATTCGGCGATCCATCGATCATCCATCAGATATTTATTCCCGACAGTGCAGACAGCCTGCGCAGGCGCGTGTTCCGCTCGGTCAGTAAATGCGGTGGTAGTGGGAGCGAGAACAGTACCGGCAGGCACAATAACATCTCCCGGGTCCCCATTCAAGACTTGCAAAAACGGGGCCTGACCCATTCTGAGAATGGTTTGAGCACAAACCAACGTCAACCCTCGCGTAGCAATATTTGAAGACGTCAACAGAATCCCATTCACCGCGACGTTGCAAGCGATTTTTTTGCGATATCGGAGTGGAATCAACATTTGGGAGCCTGACGGGACAGTATCGGTGGCATCAACCAAAGCCTGAACCATAGCTGAGGAGGTCGGTTGTGGAAGCGGCGATGGCAAAAAGCGCAATTTACGACCCGACGGCAATTCCAGACATCCCTGATCTACAAAAATCTTAAGCGGCATTCTTGACATATAGTCCGTGCCTAGCAAACATGGCACGGCCAACATACACAAAATCAGTACGGGCCCCGTCGCTCGAACAACCGCAATGGCGATACACGTGTCAACCTGGCCAATGATGCCCATACTACCCCCATTAGCGGCAACACACACATCATACACCGGCCGAACACGCGAAGCAGGGATCGACAACAGCTGGAAAATAACATCTGAAATGATAGTGGCAGACGTACTCCATATCAACCAAAACACGGACATCGACCCCCTGAACAGTGACTGCCACCGTCGACGATCCAACCGTCGCGGCAACCATACGTCGAGCCAATTTTTTCCACTGTGTCTGTGAAACCGGCCAACCCTTAGCAATGGTACGCGAACGCGAACAACTTGACGAATCGTCCCGTTGCGATGCACCCGTCCCGGCGGCATGAGATGAATGAGATAGCGAACATGCCCGTGTGCTCGACGTGTGCCAACTCACCTGTATGGAGGGACGTGACGGCGGACGGTTGGCTGCAGGAGATGCAGTCGGCGAACCGGACGGCGACGCAGGACGAGCGTGGCACTCCCGTGAGTAATGGCCCACACGGCCACATCTGTAGCACGTAACGGGAGGCCGCTGGTGGAGCAGATCGTCGTCCTGTCGCGGCCGATAGATATTCTGGCGACGTCAACCACTTTCGATGGAGACCAGCCAATGGGCTGACCATCCTTAGCTGGGTCCCCCATCCACGCCACCATCTGCGCCCAGCGCTTCAAATTTATATGTGCGTTGAGGCAACGCGCGACCCACAAGGGCGTCTTCATTTCGTGGCCGCACGTAGGAAGGACAACATCCATTTCCCAAGCCAACGCCAACATGCGTTCCATCACCAGCGGGTCTAACAGTTCCTGTGTTACATTGGGGTATGCATCAACTGCCAAGGCCATCAAGGCACTTCTGTAGGCGAGGGGCAACTCTGAGCTCCCCCACCAACGGTGCTGAAATTTCTTCGTTCTGTCGTCTGGCGGCTCGTAGACCTCCGCCATCTCTTGAAAGGCTTGTGGAAGCGTCTTCTTGTCGGCGGGAATGGAGCGAAACATGGCCAACGCATCACCGTCTAGCATGGTGGGCAAGGCAATGAGCGCCTCTTCCTCCGACCATCGGACGAATTTGTAGGCGGCCTCCAAGCACCAGCAAAAAGCGCTCCAGTCGCCGCCTGCTGCCACAAACTTGCGCACGTGGGGCAGGCGTCGACCCCGGTTGGCGTTCTCCTTCGCAGCGGGCGTCGCAGTGGATGGCGAAACCTCGCGCGGCAGCGATGAACCAGCACACCGCTTTCCACAGCGGTGGACAAAATGGCGGCCGCGACACGCGAACTTGGCGGGATCTGCGAAATGGCGGCCGTCTCCACGCCGCCCAAAATTGCGGCCTTATTCACCAAGGGGGGACCCTCCGAGGTACCGTCACCGGCCCTCTGCACGTCCACCCCCGGACGGTCCACCACCGGACTTTCTCCAGCGGCGATCGGCGTGACGAGGGCGACAAGGCGGTGAAGCGCAGTTGTTGGCGCGCCCAGCTGGGTCTCCACCCTCTGCCACGGCTCGTCAGAGCGAAGCTATTGAATTGTCTCCACCCCGCCGTCCGCCGCAGGTGCGACATCGGCACCCGTCGTGGGCTCCCATCACCGGGGCCACGGCCCCTGGGGTCGGCAGGAGCTGAGTCGCCGTCTCGTCGTCGTCGGAGAACACTGCAGGTGGATTCTTCTTTTTCTGATGTTTAGACATCGTGTCTTCTTGACAGCTTGGTTGTTTCTCGTCTCTCTCGCTATGGAATGATTTGCCGCCCAAGCGGCTTCGCTACCCCGCGCCACGTGGCGCTCACCCACTCTCTAACACGCCGCAGGCTGACGGTGCGCTAGGGAGCGGCTGGAGGTCGAGGCGCCATGTGGCTGATGGAGATGGCGGGGCAGCAGTGACGGGTAGCTCCTCATGATTCTTCACACAGACCCCACACCTTGCTCCGGCCCCCACTTATATACGCTCCCCGGTGACTAAACCCCGCCTCTGGCCACGCCCCTCATGGAACATTCGGGAACGTTCCAGAGGCTTCCCGGGTGGCTCCACCCTTTCACCTTTGCTCTAGATGTAAACCCTTACCCCAGATAAACCATAACTGCATAGCAAACAATGCCCCACATAACACAGGAGATGGCGCTCTCATTACAATTGTATGGGTTGATATCAACTCTTAAGGGGAAACCGCAACTGTTGGATCTGCAGCGGCTACCCCGGCGTTTGCTCGTGCCAACTACTGCCTTTTGCGTGTGCCCCGTTTCTCATTGGTGGAGATGCATGCAATCATTTGCCAGGTAAGATTGCACGTCTGTCACTTTCAGTACGTGCGGCCGTCTGTGTGCGTGCATATCCGAGTTTATTTTGATCTAAGTGGTAAGCAGCAGCTTGGAAAGCTGTAGTGATCCACATTGTATATCCCTGCCCTGCCTTTGCAACATACACCATTGTGTAAGTATAGTGCAATGCGTGAGTCTGTGCATTTAACGTGCATTTATTATTCCACTTGGAGAATCTCTCGACCTCCCTCCAAGCTGCAGACCTTCATGCATATATCCAAACATGTGCAATATTTGTGTTGTATAATGAGTGTACAGGAATTCGAATTTCCATGTCTGTTGTGTGCATACTAGCCATTAGTGGGTACCCAGAGCATGCAGTTTTAAATCACTGAAATATTGCAATGCACAGATGCATACATGTCGTGCTTTGATGAATGAGCCCGTCATTAACTTATGCATTGTTTTTTGCATGTTAAAGATGTATGTGCTTTAAGCATCGGAGTGGGTTGATCGTGCAGTACTCGTGTGCAGGCATGCCTTGTGCAGCTCTGCCTTCGTGGGCTGCAGAATGCTTCTGGCAGGCTCTGTGCACGGCATCGTGCACCACTGGGATCCCTGTACTGGGAACTCACCTGATTTAATTTCCTTTTCGTCTTATTTTGTTCAATTAATGATCTCGCCGCAGTCGCTGTGGGAAACAATCACATTTCTCGGCAGTATTTTCTCTGCATCGCCCGCTGCGTTTGCGCCCACACGCCTGCGCTCAGCTGAGGCACATCCGGCATGCTGGAGTCTTTATATGTATCTTTCTGACAAAAGGGAGAAAAATGGCCTGAAAGCTTGCCAAACGAGACAGGACAGCTTGCCGTAGGGATCCCACGCTCCCAAGAGCACAGCCTGGAATGAATCGTGCTACTGTGCAGCATCCGCTGGTGTTCGATTTGTCCTGCTCCCTGTCACCCCCCTGTTTTCTTGCGCTGCTCCTGTTGATGCATAAATTAGGATGAATTGAGGGTTTATTTTCTGCTGCTGTTTGTGTGCTGAGTGAGTCAATTCCTCAGATAATTGTATGTTTTATTGTAAGAAACTCTCAAAATGCTATGCATAGCAAGGACTGCTTGTCATTGTGTAATAAATAAGTGCACATTTCTACAGTTAATGTACACACACACACAAGTATAGCAAATGAGTGGACATGCAAACTAAATAAATATTCAGCACACGACAAGAGCAGAGGCATGGAGAACAGAAAGGAATATAGTCTTTTCAAAGCAACAGTGAAGAGATTTTGGATGCGAGCATGAGTGGATATAATTATGGGCAAATTTGCTCGCATTCCATACAAGTATTTATTTTTGCAAGGTGTAACTTCGCGATGGTTCCCCCCTTTATAAGGAAAACGTCATCATTGATATTAATTTGCATCTCATAGCACTTGGTTCACGTGCATTGCACTGTGTATTGGTTTACGTGGCATATGATGTGTTTTTTTTAGCGCTACGTTAACAGGTATGATGATATCTCATTGCATTGCTGTAAAATCACAGGTAAAGAAAAGGAACACGTTGCACGTGCTGGTGATGCAACCTCATATCCGATATGGCATCATGGAGCGTGGCCTACGTGTTTAAAGCCATCACGATGGACTGGTGACCTCCACATCTCGATAAAATAAATCTCCCCCGAAGGAACACACGGTTCCGCCTTGAGTTCTGCGTTAAAATTAGGCGAGTTTTTTTTTACATTTGGAACGTGCGTATCCAGTTGGTATCATTGATTGGGCATGAAGTTTGAAGCAAAAACACATTAATTGTGTGTCCTGCACGACTGTGATTTTCCAAGCGGGGTGCGGTACACCACCATCATCTGGTGACTGATTCAAGAGGATCATTGTGGTGCTTTAAACTAACGATCTGCTTGTGCGTGAGTCGGCTGAGCGCTTCGATGAACCCCCCACGCTTTTTATTTCCCCAAGGCACCAAACGCCAATCACGTTCTCTGCGCTGCTGCCCCAATCGCTCACGCCGAATATTTTTTTTCCATGTTAACTACCCCTGAGCTGCACCTTGGCCATTGGAGGCAGCTCATTGTATCCAAGTCGTTTATTTCACACAGGAATAAAAGGGGTGACTCTTTTACATCTGCATATTAACTGCCCACCGATTTGCCCTAAACAGTGAGCTGGGGGGTATATTCTCTCCGTGGTGGACGCTCGTCGGCAATTGCAGCGATTGTTTAAAAAAAACCCGCGATATTTCTTTATATCGCTGCATCAGCAATAATAATAGGGGGGTTTTCCCCCGTTTTCTGGCAAAAAAACTGAAACCTTTTTACAAGGATTCATGTCTGCATTAACCACAATACTTGCAGTCAAAATGCAAACCAAAAACATACTATGATAATATATGCATTGTCATTGAAACTGATTGGTTCACACCAAGGGACGGTTTTCTTTTTAAAGAAAGGAAGAAACACAACTAGACAAAACATTTTTTTTGCTCGTATTCAAACAGCCGTACGCCGTACGGAACTGAGAACTCAATTTTCCCTGTACAAGAATACGAGTAAACCGAATGGGTTGACAGGCATGATGTCCAGTGCCGGGTGATACCGACAGATTGCACATGCCTTTACCACGATATCAAGGTTGGCAATTCAAGGTACACCACGGTGCCAGTGTCAAGTTCTTATAAATGCTCGGTATACCAGCTTGACCAATACTCCGGCATTGGCCTCATGATCCTGAGGAGCATAATACCTTGGGATTGCTTCTTTTGAAATGTGCAGCAACAACAATGCCTTCTCTCAAGCCAGACTAATCGGCGGGGGTGGTGAGCGTCCTGGCCTGGCTATCTAACAAGTCCGGCTAGCCGTCATCTCAATGAAATATATTGTATGTGTTAAAAAACAATACACACACATATATGTGTACTAGCTTTTGCGCCCATCCTTGGACGGGTGTATATTGCAGTAAATCTTAAATGTTAAATAGAAAAATGATTATTAATGAGGGGGGTTGCCCCATGTGGAGTGACGTCACTCGCTAATGGTTATTGGGGAGGGGTGCGGCATGTGGAGTGACGTCACCTGCTAATGGTTATTGGGGAGGGGGGTTGCCCCATGTGGAGTGACGTCATTCGCTAATGGTTATTGGGGAGGGGGGCGGCATGTGGAGTGACGTCACCTGCTAATGGTTATTGGGGAGGGGTGCAGCATGTGGGGTGACGTCACCCCCTCATGGTTATTGTGGAGGGATAAGGCCTTGTGGAGTGACGTCACCCGTTAATGGTTATTGGGGAGGGGTGCGGCATGTGGAGTGACGTCACCCCCTCGTGGTTATTGTGGAGGGGTGCTGCATCTGGTGTGCGAGACCTTGTGCGTTAGTGTAAATTTATTAATGAATGGGGGGGGGGGCTCTTTTGCAGTGACGTCGCGCACGTATGTAGCACTGTGCTGCGTAGATTAATTTTTTTACCTTCACTTTCTGTAAAGAAACATATTTGAAGCGACTTTGCGTAATAAATAGTTTAATTCAGATCGACCTGTGTTCGTGTAAAAATCCACCCACTCATGAATAATAATGAGGGGGGGTATGCCTCATGTGGAGTGACGTCATGCGGGGGGTATGCCTCATGTGGAGTGACGTCATGCGGGGGGTATGCCTCATGTGGAGTGACGTCATGCGGGGGTATGCCTCATGTGGAGTGACGTCATGCGGGGGGTATGCCTCATGTGGAGTGACGTCATGCGGGGGGTATGCCTCATGTGGAGTGACGTCATGCGGGGGGTATGCCTCATGTGGAGTGACGTCATGCGGGGTGTGTGCCTCGTGGATTTACGTCACGCGTGTGACGGACAGACATTTCTGGGTGATTATACAGTAGTAATAATTACTGTACACGTGTGCTGTGCAGTGTATATCTAACAAATATATACAGAAAGTGCGTGGCGTACGTGCTGTGTACAGGGTGGTCAAGATGTGACCTCCCAAATGAATTGAACCCTAAACATAGTTTTAAATAAACCTTTAAAAATTTATTAAGTTGTAGATCATTAAATGGGGGAAGTGGGGGGGGTCACAAGATCATCTGTAGTGTGCTGTAATTACTGTACGGATTGTTTGCCGGTCGCCCCCTCCTCGCCATCCCCGACCGGCCTAGAACCAATTAACCGCAGTCACGAAAGCTTCAAATCAGAGTAATTGAACCCCCCTTACGGCGCTACCCCGGGGTGTCTATAGGACCAGGCTCTCGCACAATGTCCGTGATGCAGTCACGTTTAGTCTGTGTTGATGGTCGGAGATGCGGCAATCGACTCATCTCGACGAGCTGTACTCACGATGCACCACCACGGGGTGCCACGTGCGAATTGGCACTGATTTCGGATTGAAATCAGTGCCAGTCGCGGAGTAACACCATGCCCCCTGGTTAAACAAAATAGTGTCCCAGAAATAAAGTATTTAATTGCCTCGGCCATTTAGTATTATTTGGTACCCCCCCCCCCCCCAATAAGGATCAATTCCGCGTTTAGCTTCATCTAAAGAAACTGTTTTAATGCGCGCATCGTCTGTGTGAGTCAAGTCATTACCGTAACGTGTTTCGCACACTTGTCAACACGCACCTGGGCAAGCTAAAGATTATTGATTGTTCAGTGCTGCACGTACCATGTTAACCCACGCGGCTTTACCACGTGTTCTTGTACAGGGACATTTGAGTTTTCAGGTCTGTAAGGCGTGCAGCCGTTTCAATACGGGCACGTGTTTTTGTCTATATGTTTGTGTTTCTCCCTTGTAGGATGGATGTTGAGATTTATCAGGGCACGGGGTGATCAATAAAGTCGGAATTTGTCTGTAATAAGTTGAGCATGGATAAGGGGTTTACAAGTGTACACTACTGTCCATCTGTATAACAAAGAAAAATCAGCTCATCAGATTTCCTCCTCCAGTCTAAATACAGATTCTGATCCCATCGTGTATGGGGGCACTTAGTGGGAGAAGCGATTCCCCTTTAAGGTGTAGGCGATTGTTAAACCATACAAAAAAGCATTGTCGATGCGTGGGACCCGAATACACCCTCAGCTGTATTGTGCCATTGGTTTCGCCTCCGGCGTTGTCACGTTTTTTGGCCCTATCGCTTGCTTTCAACATTGCCTCTTTTAGCACTACATAGTTTGACAGGCGCTTTATAAAACCGGGGTTATTGTTGTTGATCGTGAAACAGTGATTCGGTATCAAATGTCGCCAATGTTCATTGATGATAGCGTGGTGTACAGATCGCTCGTCATTCGCTTTTTTTGTTTGTCGCCGCGCAGTATTTTCTCGTAAATGTATTCCATTGAGCAACGAAGCGGTGAAAATTATCGCATTCGTCTGCCCCGCGTAGACAAGTACTCTAAACTTGTTATTTAAATGCTTCATCATGGCGTGTGTGTGTGCGCGCACGTGTGGTGTGTGTCTAGAGCGTAGAGGTGGTTATGACATTTGGGCTCACGACAACAAACATTGCTTAGAGGAGAAACATGGAACGTGCGGTGCTGGCCGCTCAGAGTCAGTCTTCCCTGCTGTGCTGTCCAGCCCGACAAGGAAACTCGGCGCCCCTGCTACTGGACGCTGCCTCTCACCTTTGTGGCCAAGACCACGAATACACGTTCTTCTAGATCAGGTAACTTTGTACAATAGCCGGGAAACTGACCAAACGGGATAATCTATGTAACAAATCAAACAAAACTCAAACTGGATAAGGCCACACTGTCTGGATGAATCAATTGTCGTTTTGTCCTTTCTGCTCAAACCACCATTTGATGGCTGGCAGTCTCCTTTGGCGATATTAAGCTGTTGTGGAAATTCCGCCTTTCTGTGATGGGGGGGGGGGGTCCATAAAAGCAATCTATTTTTGACTTTCTTGCTTTAGAGGGATAATGGGCTGAGTTGATACCGAAAGTTGATTTTTTTTTAACTGTGGGCTTCTGATTGGGACTTAAGCACTCATCTGCCTATGATCATCATCATTAGCCATGAGTATCATTAGCCTTGATCCCCTGCTGGATGAAGGCCTTCCAAACCCATAACTATCTTGAACGATCTTGCAGGTTATGATACATGCTTAAAAAATATATACGTTCAATAAATCGTTAAAAGATTGCATGATAATGTATATCTGTTTTATATTCATGGGAACTTAAAAACTAAGAATTTGTGAACTATTCACTTTGTTATATTTTTCACATAAGCTGCATGAGCATTGCAAATTTCTGTTTTGGTTTTTCTATGGAGAATACTCTGCCAGCCGTAGCAATGTGTAATTCAGCCACTGCGTTAGGGATGCCCACAGAGATGAGCATACACCCACACTCTCCTTAACCTTGATTTTAATCTGTACACATAGGACGGCATACTCTTGATTATACCTATTGAGAGGATCATATGTGTCTATAATACATTGTTGCGGTGAATAGAAACATGTGAAGGAGAAGTCTCCTTATTAATTTAGTTAATACCACAAATAAGATTGTTATTTTGGTATTTACTTTGAACCTATCTACGTGACTTTACCAAAAAACCCAAAGAATATGAATTCCTGCAGTCACAAAAGCTTTTAAGTCAAGATTGAGGAGAAAGGGGATGAGACGTGGGGTGGGGGAAGGTTCCGGGGGAGGAGGGGAGCGATTGTTTGCAGTTTGCAGGGGCAGTTTTCACTACAGTGTGAGGGTGCCCTACACCCACACCTACAAATACCGTCCCTACGCCGCCTGTTTATTTCAGATGATTGCGTCTGGGAGGCTGAAGCACCAGTTAAATTAGAAACTTCTGTTTTTGTGCAGTGCTTGCATGTGCATATAGATTGTAAAAACAAAGTACTGTATACAGTTTTAAATCCTATTATTTACGAACTTGGTGGCCGTCCATAAATGACGTCACGTACCTAGGGGGGGGGGGTCAGACATTTGTAATGATGTGTGACGAGGGGGGGGGGGGGTTTGAGAAATGTCAGAATCAAAATGCGCAACTTTAAATAAATATAGACAACACATTCTACATAATTAAATCGGCTTTTAAATAAATATTTTCTCCTACAACATCAGTGCAGCGCCACATTAAATACGCACTACAATGACAATAGTTTAAAGCGATTTGAAGCATGTTTTATTTGGGGGGGGGGGCAGAGCTTTGTGACGTCATTTGAGGGGGGGTCTGACTTTTTGTGATGCCGTGTGACGAGGGGGGGGGGGGGGCAAAATTCGTCTAAAATATCGTGACGTCATTTATGGACAGCCCCTTGTTTTCCCTCTGCTCGTTTTTTTGCTTTGCAGACCTAAGTTAAAAATAATTTGGGATGATTGAACCGGAAGAATTGCCTCTAGTGATTGATTCGGACATCCAAAGCAAAGTCCCCGTGGTTGTGGAGATCATCCCAGCAAAAGGAACGGATCGCCCATTTGTAAGAAGAGATCTTGTAAATCCAGAACTACCACTGCAAGCTGGGACAGTCAGCCCTTTGCATCAGCTGTCTGGTGGCGACTTAGCTCAAATCAAGGTAAATAATTCACTGACTATGGTCAAATCTGGTGGCCAGGGCATCCAAGGGAGAGCTGAGACAGCTCGCCAGCAGCAGCTGGGAGTTATGATATCTTGTGGGCGACCGGGGTCGGACAATGACCGTGTCGTCTATTACGCAACAAAAGACGACGGGCCAGCTGGTGATTCTGGGCCGCAGGCTGGGCGGCAGACACCTAGAGCGTACGTCGAGATGCCCAATGTGATAGATGCAGAGATGAGCGCAGTGGAGCCCGCAAAGGCGACAGCATCCCCACTGACCCAGGACCTGAATTATGCTGAGTTTGCGGACGTGTCCCATGGAGACGAAGAAGAGGATGGAGAAGGAAGAGAAGGAGCAGGCGGAATGAAGGCCAGGGCACATGGCAGCACAACGCACAGTCAGAGGCACGCCTGTGAGGAGGTCAATGCGCAGGTGGACGGAGAGCAGCAACGTGAAGGGGAGCTGCCCGTCCACCCCCTGGAAAACTTCAGTCGGGAAGAGAGAGCCGAGGCTGACTCTCAGCTCGACCTTCCAGCAGACGCACAGGTCAGTGGTAGTCTTGATGTGTTTGTTACTCTAAAGGCTATGTTTTGTCATTTATGGGATCACTCGTGTATGTTTACATCTGTCGATTGTAAGTTATCACTTTATTCGTGTCATTACTAGGATGGTATACATGTCTAATAGCTTGTTTGAGAAGAGAATATAGAATATGAAATAATTGAACAATTACAACATTGGTAAATGACGATTCTATGGAAGCAATATTATATGTCAAAATATTACGTGATGAGAAAATATTGTTTTTAAAGTCCACATTGTGTGACACATTGAAGCAGTATTTTTCAGTGTGCCAATGCTAAGCATGGCTAAGGTGTAGGAAACGAATTCTAATGATAACCACTGGGGGGCATACATTTGCACGAATGTGTATTGGACCTGTCTGGCACAGGCACTATATAACTGTTCCCCCTCGGGTGAGTCTCACCCATTTTTGAATTGAAACCTGTTGGAACCTTGGAGCTCATCGGTTCTGAATTCAAAGTCAAATCAACGTTATTTCTTACTCTTTTACCTCTCAATCAACGTATTCATTTGAATTGCTGTTTGGGCCATTTGTCATTGCCCATGCAGAAACGCCAGCAGTCACAGGTGCAGTCAAGAAAGAGAGCCAAGGTAAGGTTGAGCACCAGCACACTGGCTCCCGTGCATGTCCATGCCTTTCCCCATACTGTCTGTCCACGTTTCTGTTGTTTTGTTCCTCTGCATTATGTTTCAATTGTGGTCTGACTATTGGGTTCTCAAGATTTTCATGGTCATAGCCATCGTTGGCAAGTTAATTAAATGTAAGCTTTGTTCTGAAGCATACAATCAGTCAACATCGAATAATGCTGAGGGTTTTAAAAATACGTAGGAAGGTGACTGAAAAGTATCCTTTTATTTAATCTTTGTAAACAACCTACTCTTGGTTTTTATAAAGCCAGGTTTTGCTTTCTAGAAAAATAATGCGTCCAGCAAAGCTCACTGAATTATCACTGTATTGTTTGCCTCAGTGTGATTTATAATCATAACTTAATCCACAAGTGTCACCTTATCACTGCAATAATCTTATGAATGCTGCAGGTTGAAAAATAAAATTAGTTTTTATTTGATTTTACTTAACTTCACGTATGTCATTTTCAGATATCCTTTTTGGATAATTTCTACTACAGTATATGCTTAGCTTAATCATTCTGCCTATATCTTGTATTTTCCATTGTCTCACAAATGTGCAGAACAACCAGTGTTTTTCATTTGCACAGACATAGCCTTACCCCTCATGCTGATTAATTTCTGTAAAATGCATATGGTATAAAAACTTTTCGACTTTTATTTAAATTGCAGTCATTTTCTCATTTTAAAACATAATTGAAAACATGCAATCATATTCCTTAACTAAAACCATAGAAAAATACTGTATTTATGAAGGATTTCAGGTCTGTCAATGGCCAGTCATCAGTGACTTGGTCATAACATTTAACTCGTAACCATTTTTTCAGAGTGATGGGGCGGGAGGCTATAATTATGTTTAATTTATATTTTGTGGCACTGAAATCTTAGTTTTAGACTCTATAATTTACCAAGCGTTGAATCAGTGTTTTTGCTGTCTATAAAGATTACATGCACAGAAAAAACGATCTGCAAAGTTAAAATCCACCAATATTACCACTTCAAAACACAACAATATTGTCACGTTTACTAAGATATCATTAATGTACCAATGTATAAATACAATTTTGGCCAATAAATCTAGCTTAAGAAATGTCATGACTAAATTTAACATAAATATTCATGACTGAATTCTTTATCTCTATTTGAGACATACAGGAATCACTGCAATCCACATTTGCGCCAGAAAGAGCCTCAAACCATTAACCAAGTCCTGGCTCAGGTGCTTAATTTCAGTCCCTAGAACAATAGAGCCTGAGAGTTGACTTTAGATAACAAAACCTGCAAAGTCATCCTGTCTGCTTTCAGACGTTTATATCCTGCACACTTGGCAAAGGGTTCCAGTATTTAGCATCATCATTGTAGCGATCGTCCTGTCTCCTCTGCTGTATATTACTTCTTGTCTGCCGCAGTCGGGTGTCAAGATGAAGCTGGTGCGGAGCCTGGCGGTGTGTGACGAACCGTCTCCTCCCCTGGTGGACGGCGACAGCCAAGAGAGCCAGGTGCACAATTCATATGCACTCTCTCGCAATACTGCTCCGTGCTACAGTCCAGCCGGTTTTCCTACAGTGGTCATCGGCATGTTCCTCACAGTCATGAAAACCTTCGCATGCCCAGCATGCTGCAGGAATTGGCCATTGTAAGCGTCTTACTGAACTACCGAGGGTGTCCGGAATCATGTCTGTTCATGTGACTCGCTATCCAGAGCTCCTCATTATTTCAGACTCTTCCAGAGCCAACTGACTTAGAGCATAGTGTATTGCACAACAACAACAAAAACACCACACAACCAATCTCACACAAACACCACCCCAACAAAGCAACCTTCTTGTGCTTCCAGTGGCCATCTCATCATGTGCCCATGCACGAGCTAAAAACTCAACACAATAGGTGACGTTTTTGGCTATAGAGACATTAGAAATGTCATGATTAAATTTAACATAAATATTCATAACTGAATTCTTTATCTCTATTTGAGACATACAGGAATCACTGCAATCCACATTTGGAGACTGCACTTTATACAATGGACCTGATAATAATTAAACTTTGAAATGCTTTTTGATGGACAGTTTTTAAACTGGCATCTGAATCGGTACCTTTAAGTAGCAGTTAACTCAACAAGAACATCCTTCCACTATCACATATGTATTACTAAATTAACTCATTTACATACACATATACTAATTAATCACTCAAATAAACAAAGAGAGGAGAGGGGGTAGAGAAACATGCCGATGGTTGCATTAAGTCTGAGGTTGTGGTCTGCCAAGGAGTTTCTGGTCACCCTCGATTGCCTCCACCAATCCTTCATCAGACCCTGATTGTACCATTGCATGTTGTCCAGGTATAGTTTTATGTGCTACTCTTAATGTGCCGACAACTACCACAGGCAATTTTTCACTTGCCTGCTCTGCTTGCTCATCTCAGTAATAACCTGCCTGCTCAGCTCCAGCACCTTTATCATGTTTTACTCATTAACTCGCGGGGCCTTGAAGATTTGAGAATGAAAGGGAAGAATCTCCCATTTCCCTACGTCGCTTGCGTGTTCATCGTTGCTGGCATTCACAGGACCAATCTTAACATAAGCAATGACATTATTTCAGGAGCCTCAGTTGGACAACAGAAACAGGAAAGAAGAGGAGAGGCCATGCAAGGAGGGCTCCGGCAAGGATAAACTAGCAGAGAACGTTCTGAGTGACAAACCCGAAAAGGCGGCTCCCAAGGGACAGAAAGTACTCTCCCGAGGCAAGTCCCAAGGCTCACTGTCATACACTTAAAAGACATAACTTGACAAGTGTCTTAATTCTCTCTTTAATTTCACACTGATCATTCTGTATTTTTTTGCATGCAAGCCCTCATCCACAGGGCCATAGTGTGTGTGTTCAGCTTTACATGTAGGCTGTGTATATTGACAAATGAACGGGCAAAGTTGGCTCATTTGTGAGTTGAGTGTGTTTGTAGTCATCGTTTCTGGCAGGAAGGTACGGGTCTGTATTATCATTACTGTCTTTGACCATTCTCAATCCAATGCTGGGGTTTAAACTTTCCCAAGCTACCTTTGCTCCCTAGCTATTGCATTCCATATGGAATATTCCACGTATGTATATGTAGTGTCTGCAGAGTATTTTTTCTGAAATCTTAAATAACCTTTTATTAAACCAGATGAGAGCCCTTTGAGAAAACATACATCTGGGAAAGGAGGCCTTTGGGAAATATGGATAAATACAGATGTTAAGGGCACTGCAACGGTCTGAACTATGAAAGCAATAATGTTTTTAAATTAAAGGTAATTATAGCATTTAAACAATTAAATTGGTACATAATGCAAGTATATTTTACATATATTGTAACCAATTACAATTCACGGAAGAGAGTATAATGTAGCAACATATTTTACAGAAGGATACTTTATTTTTTCTAATTATTGAAATCTAACATTCAAATTGGGGAAATTGGTACGGTTGGCTGCATATCATCTAGAACGCTTACATTTATATTCACCAATTAGTAATTCTTTTTTTCACCACACATTAGAATTAGTGGTGCTATAACATGGAAGGAACATTCAAAGCTAGAAATTACATACTTAATTTTCAAAGTACAAAAATGGAAAGGTTGTCAATAAGCCTAAAAAGTAAGATGTAAATTTAAATTGTGCTATGCGGAAAAGGCAATCAAATGTGTGATGAGTTTAATATTGCACGTTTGAACATCCCTTGACATAATCCACTGTTAAAATCAAATTACATTTTATGAAGCTTTGATGATCGAGCTTACTAATGATCCAAAGAGACTCAAGCTCCAGTTGGTGGTGGAAATTGTTATATTTCATCATCATCTTCATCGACCATTATCTGTCCACTGCTGAATTAAGGCCTCACCACATTGATATTCCTCACACTCCTCTGTTGCCACAATTCATCTATCTCCTTTGTACGAACTGATCTCATCGCTCCATCTCCATGGTAGTTATACTCTCAAACGTGTTCCCTCCTTTGGCTCCATTCTGTCACCAGTATCATCATTTGGCTATCAGCTCTTCCCCAGGCATGTCTTACCCAAGCCCAATCATTTTAAATCAGCAGAATGTCTCTGATTTGCATTTGTTCTCTGATCCATGTGTTCCTCTTTCTGTTCTCACCATGCAGAGTACCTTATCTCTTTTGTGTGATTTTCAACTTGGGTTCCGTATTTTTTGTCATAGTCTACGTTTTCAATGTAGTTTGTTATCGCAGGGAATGTGCACTAATTCAAAACATTCTTCTTTCAGCAAATTGGTTTGTTACTTTTGTTTATCTGGTTTCATTTTCCAAAAGCACTCCATTCTGCTCTCTCTTACCTCTTTGTAGAGTGATGTATCCTCTTCTGCTTTCGATAATTGCCTTGATATAATACTCTGTGTTTTGCAGTTGCATCCTTCCAACCAATTATTTATTTTTATCCAGATAACTTGTACGTTATCTTTAGCTCCACTTTGCAGTTTTCTTCATGATAATTACATCCTGTCCTGAGGTGCAATACCCTTGATTGTTATGACTACGGTGTAAGCAAACTGCGATGATTATTACTTTCACCTTTTACCATTACGTCTTTATTTTTCTAATACATTTTTTAGAAACATTTGCCAGCGTTGTCGTGAATCCCCTTGGTGAGAGGTATTTTCCTTTCCCGATTCATTTTGATTGAGTTTTGTTATTGCAGTGTCAGTGTTGATCATTTATATATATATTTATTATAATAGATTTGGTTTGTGACAACTTAGATTACTGCATAATTCTCAACTGCATTAATTGCCTTTTATACTTCTAGATTCTGATGGGAAATATTGATGTGGTCAGTGGTAGAACACCCTAGTCGAATACCAGTTTTCTGCCGTGGTTGGTTGTCCTTTAAATTGACCATTATTTTATTCACTATAATTTTCATGAACATTTTATCTTTGTGGTATAAGAGACTAACAGGTTTGGAATTAATAACAATCAATTTTAATGGCCTTTTTAAATGGAAGACTGAAATGTCAATCTATGATTGAGGTAATTATTTTCTCGATAAACATTTGGTAAATAAATATGCTAATTTGTTCCACCAACTTGTCTCCCTACTTTGATGTCCACAGTTATTCCATCTAGTCCAGGAGCTTTCTCTTTTTACGACAAATGGCAGTGTTTATATTTTTATGGTTAATAGATGTGATTAAACCTCACACTGCTGCATCTCTCCATGTATTTTTTACATTGCCGCATCTTGCTGTAATTAATGCAGAATTTTCTGCAACGGCTAAATGAGATTAAATTTGAATGTCAGAATTGAAGCCGCCCCCACTTATAGTAAGTGACTGCTTACATAAGAGCCACTTCCGGCACTGGACCATTGCCAGGTGAAGGGTGACGTAAAGGCACCTACGTGTGACAATTTGTAAATTTATGGCCACAATGCTGGCACAATGGTCACTGGTTCTACCCCTGCCTACGAAGGCATCCCCATTAAATTAGACGGGCATCTAATTTCCTGTGTGTGGGCGATGTTCGTGAGCTGCATGTGATGCTCGCACATGTTTCAGCTGCAACTCGCAGCCCCTGCGAGCTGCAGCTTCTTTATGCTGACCCAATTATGTAGAGATTTAAAAGTTTTTTTCCTCAGTGGCTTGTTTATGAAAAAGATGTACATGAACATGTGCAGCCCTTTTATTGGTCCACTGTTGTAAAAAAATACGTGGGTTAACGAAAATGAAATGTAACAAATGAAATGAAGGTGTCAGTGGTGTACGAATATCCAACAAAAACAGCTTTGCAATGAAGACTGCCTTATACGACAAACATAGTAGAATAATATCGCAGGTCATTGCCTTTATCCACTCTTCACACTGTCTAACACCGTAGCTAGATATGTGTTTATTTTTGTGCTGCAAGGCATTGTTAATGAAGACAGTAGTGAGATTTTTATTTTTTTATATCAATTGTGATTTGTTTACTTTGACCATGTTTTTTAGAATGTGTACATAAATGATTGTGATTTTGCAGCTCTATTGACAGCAACTTGAGAAGGCCGTAGTGATTATTAATTCTTAATGCATCATTATTGCTTATTGCCATTAAAATTGATGTTACACATATTTTTTATTTCAATTCGTTTAAATAACTAAATTTATTTGTACAGCCATGGGTTTATCTTCTTGGTTCTATCGGTAAAGTCACGTAGAATGGAAATAATAAAATAATAAAAATAAAACATAAAATAATTCTCACGACGTTTCGGCCACAACGCAAGCAGCCATCCTCAGGTGAAGAACAGGTCTGTCGAGAAGACAGTCCGAATGACAACCCCAGGCTTGGAGCGTCTCTTTTAAGCTTAGAGTTGCGGCATCTCAGCTTAAAAGAGATGCTCCAAGCCTGGGGTTGTCATCGGACTCTTTCTTCTCGACAGACCTGTTCTTCACCTGAGGAAGGCTGCTTGCGTTGTGGCCGAAACGTCGTGAGAATTATTTTATTATGTTTTGTTTTTATTATTTTATTATTTCCATTCTACGTGACTTCACCTGAAAGAACCAAGAAGATGAATCCCTGCAGTCACGAAAGCTTTAAATCGAAATTTAACCGCCACTACGGGGTGGGATTCCACAAAACTTTAAGAACCTTCAACAAGCTCCGGGATAAGAAGGCTCAGCTAATCGAGTCTCTCACCTTTCTGAAGAGATGCCGCGACTCTAAGCTTAAAGAGACGCTACAAGCCTGGGGTTGTCATTCGGACTCTGTCTTCTCGACAGACCTGTTCTTCACCTGAGGACGGCTGCTTGCGTTGTGGCCGAAATGTCGTGAGAATTATTTTATTATGTTTTATTTTTATTATTTTATTATTTCCATTCTACGTGACTTTACCAAAAGGACCAAGAAGATGAATCTCTGCAGTCACGAAAGCTTTAAATCGAAAGCCATGGGTTTCTTCCCCTTATTTGATATTGTATCAAAGGCGCTATTTAAGCTGTAATATTTTTTTTGCATTATGTAATTCACATAGTTGCCCTTTAAGTTAGTAGTCGTGCAGTGGGCATTGCAAAATCAAATTTTTTGCACTGTTAACAGCTGCCTATTAATGCTGACGGGTGGTGATTGCAATCTTTGCAGATTCTAGCCAGGACTACACTGACTCAACGGGTGTGGACGTGCACGAGTTCTTGGTGAACACGCTGAGAAACAACCCCAGGTCCACAGCACTTGCATCGTCATTGTAGGCCATGAAGCTGTGGCATGCAGTCAGGCACGCCGTTATTTACAAGAGCCTCTTTCTGCTGTGCTCTTCACTAAATCCTCATACGTGTTCCAGAACAGCCGTCGGGGACGAAAAATGCAGGAAAGAAAATGGGCTTTATTCTGTCAATTTAAAAAGCCGCAATGCTGTGATTAAGCGCAAGGCAGCCTTTATATTGCTCTTTAGTGGTTGCGTTCTGCGAGTGTACCGCTATGTAGGTCGCGTCAGCCTTGACTGAAATACTGGGGGTGCTTGCAGCAAGCTCTCATTTCTCTCCCGTTCTCCCGAGACCACGTTGTGCTGGATCGGCTGCGAGCAGCTGCTGGAGCGAGCAGTGTGCGTACAGCGGTAGCAGAGCGCGAGCCCTGCGCATTTGTCAGTGTTCAGCGCGCCAGTGCAACTGCTGCGCTAATTGGTATGCACGAGGAGATTCGCACATGTACTAATACTGAGATCAGTATGTGTATGTCAGCAGTTGACTCGTGCATTCTGTATGGTGCCCTTTCAAAAATAATTACTGCACTGCAATTTGTGGATGAAAAATATAAATTGGTGCTTTATATTCTGCATGCTGCAATTTGTTGAAATAAAGTTACTTCAATATCTTATATCTATATAAAGATCTTCATCTGTCGCAAAAACCTCTCGGGTACTTCCCGACAAGGTAGAATGCTGAAATGTGGTACATATGTAGCTTTTAGGACACAAACAACAGGAAACCTCTGAAAATCCGAGTTTTTTTATTTTAAGACCCCCAAATCTCGATTTTAAGTGCCCCATAAACAGCTTTGTGTGTGTTCTTCACTGTAACATGATAACAAATGTATGTGAATAGCTTCAAAAAGTCAAAGAGTCTCCACTTGTTGGCCATCATTGTCAACATGCCTGGAATCTTCTCCAGAGCCCGGAGGCACATTTATTGTGGTTTGATTGCAAATTTTCAGAAGTGGTAAAAAAATATTAAAGCACACTGTATGTAATTTTGAAACCTGAATCATTAGAGAAATACTGGCAGACTTCTTTTGACCTTGCCGTATAAAATATGTGCGCAGTACAATGATTATCACATTCAGGACTTCCAAACAACGACTTTTATTCCACACAATTTAGTGAGACGGCCTTGAATGAAGTACATGAAAGAGATCATTGATAAATATGAGTAATTATAATTGTGACGATCAAGTAATTTTTTTTCTTCTTAGTAACACGTTTCCTTTGTGGACAAGCCATGTTTATCCAAGACAAGGCCAATATAATTTTTTTTTATAAAAGGTCGCACGAGGCTGCCTAGACTCGGGAAACTCAAGACAAATGCTCTGGTGTCCAACAGCGATGAACAGGGAACGTGTGTAGTTTCGCTGCTACGTCAATATTCATGGTGTGGTGTGAAATGAATTATTCTGGGCTAGGATTAGGGGTTAGGAGTGCAGACAGATTATCCACACACATTTTAGCTTCATAATATAACATTTTTGTGGTATTTTTTTGTTATGCACATGCTTTCTTTTTTTTTTACCTCGCAGAGACAGAATGATGCTTCTGAAGATGGAGCAGGAGCTCACCGACTTCGTACAAGACCACAAGTAGGTTGACCTCACTGACGGAGTTCGCCAGAGGGAATGAGTTCTACAATACGGAATGTGGTGGTTCATGTATGAGCTCAGGTCCAAGTGCCCAGCATCATACCGCACCATCTCTTTCAGGCAACACTATAGGAAATTCCCACCGATGACGTCGTACCACCGCATGCTCGTGCACCGTGTAGCTGCCTACTTCGGGATGGACCACAACGTGGACCAGACGGGCAAGGCCGTGGTGGTGAACAAGACGCCCAGCACGCGCATGTGGGTGAAAAATCACGGCACCACTGGTCTGCTCTTTTGTTTCTTAGTGTCCGTTTTTTCTGGCGATTATGAGAGCACGTTGAGGTGTATTGGCTGTTTTACAAGCACAATCAACATAGTTCATGGGTTGTGACCATTATGAGCCGGCACTCATGGTAAATCAAGTCAGCTGTGAAGTTATAAAGTGGTGCCGTGCTCAAACGAGGTTCGGGTTGTTCTCATCTCCATCAGATGGCTCTGTGCCAGTGCAAAAAAATACAACGTTCCTATGGCAAAGAACGTGTTCCATAGGACAACCACTTTGGAAATGGCAGAAAATACATTATTACCTAATTAATTATTTTATGTTCTCCATAGCACTGATGATCACTGAATTATTATTCTGTTGTATAAAAATTACAATACTTTATTCTATTACTAGCGGGAAGCACCCGGCATTGCCCGGGGGAAAAATATATTGAAAAACTTCTCAACTGAAAAACATACCATATACAAATGAAAAAAGAACTTTGATCATTACCTGATTAATAAAAATTAAAATAAAACCCAACGCGCGGTGGAAAAAAAACTTACGCTCGGGCGCCAAGATTTGTTTCTTTAGAACCACCAAAGGAATTGAAGGTTGTAGATTTCTTTAGAATCGGCCTATTCCCGTTTAATCGATACCACAAACGCTCATCAGATATCAATTCTCGCTACACACTTCATGGTCATTCCCCCCCCCCCCCAAAATACAAAGTACATTTTTATACGTTTTACATTTTGTACAGTATGGGAGCTAGCCACATGGCAAATTAAAAGTTTGTTAGCTATTTCCCCCCCCCCAGCCACGCATGTGTGCGGGAGACATGGCCTACACGGAGGGTTGGGAGGGGATGCGTGACGTCAGCAGGCACACTGCGTCAATCTGCCACATGCGAATGACATGACAGAGATGTGACGTCACCGCTCACTTGCGTGCAAAATATATGCATTATTGCGTCCCCCCCCCCCCCCCCAGAAAAAAATACAAAGGTGTATTTTTATAATTTTTGCATGGTGTACAGTCTGGAAAGACCCACATGGCAAATTTCAAGTTTGTTGCATGTTTCCATTTTATATATATATAGATTATTGTAGGTCAGAAGTTTTTCATTTATTTACGCCTTAAAACACCAGCTTTTATTCAGATTCAAGTCCATGTTTCCAGGGTTACCACACACTTCCATTTTGTCACCATCTTGCCACATACAACCCGACCCAAAGTATTTTGTTTAAAGCTACTCTATTTTTAACCTAAAAACCTATTGGCCCTGCTCCCTTACAGCCCTGAGCAGAGGTTTTCGGAGCATTTTAAAGATGATGGTCCGTGTGATGAAGCTCAGAAGCGTTTCATTCTAAAGAGGGACAACTCCAGCTTGGACAAAGATGACATGCAGGTGAGCACACTTGTCTGTGACAATGGACACACAGCCAGTTTTGATGCACTGAGATTTTTTTATTTCTTAATTATTTCCTTCCATTTTGTAGAAAGTCAGTTTGACCAATGACCAAAAATTTTATATTGATTTTTGTATAGTCTTAATGCTGGTAACAAAATATGTTGCTAGCTGTATAAATCACTCGATTAAAAATATACACACAGCTTTAAGGTTGTGTCATGCTCCCATTGTTTTTGAGACAACATCATGCAGAGTAGTGACTCATGGGAGGTGACTCTTTCCAAATCAACATGTCTGCATCTTCCAAACGTCTGGCCATGTTGCTTTGACAAACCCAAAATGTTTTATGCAATTGTATGGGCCCCACTGCTTTTCGTGCCGTATTCCACACATTTTAGCGCATCCGGCTACTGCAGGGCGAGCGGCGCAGCAAGTCAATTGAGGAGCGGGAGGAGGAGTACCAGCGTGCCCGAGAGAGAATCTTCGCTCAGGATGTGAGCGCTCGCACTCGCTTCCATGCCTGCACAACAGCAATTTGCGACAATCCGTCATCGCACATTTGTCATCGCGTTGCTGCGCTCTCAGAATGAAAAAATTCAAAACACCTGCACACATACCTTTGTCGTTGAGTTCCAGGGATAACGTGTACATTTGTTTCGTCTCTTCCTAGGCCATATCTGCGCAGGACACTCCTCAGATTGAAATCAGGTGAGCATCCGCCTTTAATGACTATTGTTCATGTATCTCTTACCCGTCGGCTCGTTATTTAACTGCTGTAACCCGACTCCTAACCTCTGAAACAACAACTGTAATGATGCACCTAATTCTGTTTAATAACACCAACAGAATCCAGGAGGATGGCAGCACCCCTAATAGCACTCACAAACGGCGGCAAATTTTTAGGTACTAGACCACTTTTCTTGGCGGTGCTTTGCGTAGTGCACGTAACTGTCCTGCACGCATGCTGCATGCTCCCATTGTAAAACGCCGCTTGTATTTGACTGCCATGTACTTCACCCTGTTAAATAATGTATTGTCAAAAGTCGTGGATGTGAATCAAAGCTTGCTGCAAGAATCTTGAAGTATGTAAACAGAAATGTGCATTTTTTATTGTGTCATGCAAAAATTATCACTGTAAATATTGACAAATTTTTTAATCATGAAGAGCATCGGAAATCATCATTGTGATGACGCCATCGGCCATAGTGGTTCAGTCATTGTCGGCGATCACCCAGTGTTGGCATGTGTCCGTGCTCCCGAAACAGAAGCCGGAAGGACAGCGGGCGGCTCTCCAACGGGGGGCGACAGAGCAGCACTGACACGGAGTTGAGGCCCTCGGAGCCCCGGCCCTGGAGCAGCACAGACTCGGAGAGCTCGGGCCACCGGCTGTCACGGCCAGCCGTCACCAAGGCCAGTAGCTTCGGCGGCATCTCGGTCCTGGTACGCGGGGACAGCACCTCGAGCAGCAACAAGAGCTCTGTGGGACGGCTCTCCAAAACCGGTAATATTCTCTTTTCAGATGTAAGCAATCGTAGATGCTGTAAAGAGATTGTTTTTCTCTTTTCGCTGTGTCACTTCATAAGACTCAAGTTTGTTGAGTATTATCACTTTGTATTTGTGGGGTTATCACTCTGGGTATTTCATTTTCCTCCCACAGGAGAAATATATTTGGCCAAGCAATGCAAACAGCACCCAAATGTAAATGAGTAATGAGACTCAGAAATTCTTTCCGAATGAATAAAGGAATATGTTAATTAGCCTAAGGCTAACAAGTTTCAAACTAACTTGTTTGCCTGTCCTAGGACGGAAGCTGAAATATTAAACATGTACATTTACGTTTTCTTGTGTGATTCACACGCTCATGATTTTTAGTGGGGGGGGGAGCCTCTTTTGCAGTGACGTCGCGTACGGATGTGGCACTGTTCTGCGTATATTTATTTTTTACTGTCACTTTCTTTAAAGAAACGTCTGCGTAGAGTTATTTATTTGATTAACTTTCAATAAAGAAACGTCAAATTTAAAGCGAATTTGCGGAAAAAAATGTTTGCGCTCGACGTGCGGGAGTGTAAAAATGCACACGCTCATGAATATTGATGAGGGGGGGTGGGCCTCATGTGAAGTGACATCACGTGGGGGGGGTGGGCCTCGTGGAGTGACGTCACGCGCGGGACACACACATTCTTGGCACATTATATTAGTATGAGAACGACTGTAAAACACACAGCCTAACCTTACAGCATGTCTCAATTTCCCTCCCCACTCATTCTTCAGGCTCGGAGTCATCCAGCAGTGTGGGGTCGTCCTCAGGCTCGCTTGCTCGCCCTGCCGAGACATCCACCACAGCCGCCCCCAGTGTCCCAGGCCCCGTGCCCGGTGGCCTCGTTGGCTCGGGAGGGATGGCCGTTGGGATGGGCCCGCCCGCCGCCAGCGGCCCCAGCTATTACCTGCTGCACCTGGACTCAGCCGGCATTCCACCTGGCAGCATTCTCATAAACCCACAGACAGGTAGGCCCCTACACACTGGCTTCAAAATGAGTACTAAGAAACTGCTTTGGTAGCAGTACATGAGCAAAGGATACAACCACTGCAGTGTCTTCCTAGTGTTTTTATGGTACCTCGTTGTGAATTGTGGTCAAGGCATTGTCTGGTTCTGTCTTTACTGTGAATAACGGCCATAGTCTTAATCGTTAGTCGGATACATTTTGTTTCTGTTGTAAACTCGTGTTAATGATGACGGTGATGAGGTGTGTTTGGTCCGTGCGTCCCCTGTGGAGTTCATTCATTTTGTCAACAAAACTTTTCACAAAATCCCAAAAGCCAATGACTGCAATAGCTTGCTTTGGTTTTGAGAATGACATAAAAAATCCCCAATATAATTAACATAACATAAAAATTAAATAGATGTAACAAAGACAGACTTGCATATAATTTTTGTAATGTATTTTAAATGTTATCAAGTTTAAGTTTGTTTGCAATTATTGCACCATCACCATACCATTTGTCATAAGCAAAACATAATTAGACTGTTCAAATACATTTCTGTATAATCCATGAACCATTTCTATAACATATATAATGAATAGGTAGGAAAATTACATGTCTATTTTATAATGCATCATCCATGGACTTTTGACACAGTGGGCACTTGCCAAGTCTAACTGCTACTGTGTTTAAAATATTTGATATTTCTTACGATAGGATTGCCAGGCCTGCTGGACTTGTTCTGCGATCCATTTCACTGAACCCGTTGTTTGCTCCAACAGGGCAGCCACTGCTGAATGCGGATGGGTCCCTGGCAGTGTACAACCCTCCCACCGGGCAGGTACAGCAACCGCAGCAGCAGCAAATAGCCACACAGATGGTGGGGCCTGGTACCTGTCAGCAGTTGCTCCACCAACGACCAAATCCACAGCAGAGACAGCAACTCCCCCACCAGGCCGCACAGGTGAGGAATATTTCTCTGCACTCATGTTGAGGCAGACAAATACATAATCCCACATACACAACTACACAGATTCCCCGTGAGCCTTATCGACGATTGAGGCAAGTGATGTTACCTAGCAAACGCTGCATGGCACATGAGGCCACACCTGGCAATCTAATTCTCCCCATTGCTGGTGTTTACACACCGCACCAGGTACTCATTTATATCTGAATCAACCTAGAAGTGGCCCAGTACCGTTTCTGATGTCTCTCGCCACTGATGTTCACTGGTAGAGAATTGAACTCAGGTCAACAGGTTCATAGTGGAGTGTGCTAACCACAAGGCCACCACTTCCCATACACACACAATAAACTGGCATAGCTCTCCCACCGAATTCTAGTATGGTACATTATAACGTGTGTAACCATGGAGATAAAAACGTGGCTCGCAACTAGACTTTGCTGGATGATTGATGCCTTGTGCTGATATGGTTGCCCCACTGCTGTTGAAGCCAAGCAGATGCTAACTTTTACCTTAATCTGTTAAAAACCTTATGTTCACTCAGCTGTCCCAGTATCTCAGCTGTGGGTGCATTCTGCTTATAAGAAACCAACCTGGAAAAATCAAAGAGTTCTCAAGTTGTTGATGCGTAACTCGGCTTTGTGTCCCCTGGGCTGTCTGACGCGAAACTGGCTTTAGCTTCATTAGAAAAAAGATATATATCAGGCACTCTGGCTTTACTGCTCAAGTGATGTTACTGCATTCACCTTAAATTAAACTATATGGGAATGACATCACAGAAATACTACAAGAATACCATAATGTATTTAGCACAGTTGGCTATGTACGGTGCGAAAGAAGTTTAACATACATACAAAATTACACGCTTCCCTTCAACATTTAAGTCTGTTTTCTCAATCACAAACTCATGTCACACAGCTTGGGATCCACAGCTGAAGTGCATAGCTGCAACGTAAGGCCTGTTTTTTTCAGGTTGCGTCTTTCTCTGCAGTCATATACTTCTTGGATAAAGGAAAATATTATTACATCACTGCTACTGGTGCAATCTGTGATGTCTTGTTCTTGCCCACATGTCCCTGCTGCCCAGTGCGTGGCACTCGGGTCCCAGCCTGGCTCATACCCACTGGCATCCTACGCTCCCAGCACAGCCACCCACCACCCTGCGGCCCCCACGCAGCCGCTAATGCCTGTACTTCACACCCAGCAGCAGCAGCAGTACCACACGGTAAAGCCTCAATATTCCCGGGGTTCGGTATTCCATCACGATGGTGCAGAAGGGAGCACAAGAGCGTAGCTAAAGTTGCTGAGTGTTAATTGATGCTCAACTGCTTAATGTTTGCTAAGAGTACGGGTATTGTTTGTGCGACTGTGCTCATGGCTTTCATAAATTCAACACCCAACCCTTGGCCAGGAGTGATGCTGTCCATCTCATGCCACTCACCCCTCCTCCCGTCTCTTGCTGTGCTTTTGGCTGAAATCCTGAATGCCTGTAGTATTCCACACGTGAACGTTTTCTTTTCTTCTCATTTCCCTGAGAATAGAATGACCAGACAATTAAAAAGGAAGCCGCCAGCATTCATGCCTATCCCGCAAAAGACAACATGATAAAATTATGACTAAAATGGGCTCTTCTGAGCTTGAATTACTTCTAAGTTTTATATAATAACATGCTTAACATGTTTATTGTTTCTTCTTGAGTCCATTACAAAGGTCATTCAACATTAAATGTGTATTAATTAATTTTCACTTGTACCTGTTGCTATCAACTATCCTGTGCCTGTTGAAGCAAATATGGCAGTCGTTTCCCAACTTGTGGTCTTCAGACCACTGGTGATCCACATGGCTGTGGAAAGTGATCCGTGGAACTGTTACAGATACGATTTATTTTCGCAAAACACCATATTTCTACCGCATGGTGGTTCTTGACATTTTTTTTGGGTTGCCCGTGGATCCAAAACCTTTGAGAATTACTGCTTTCTAATATGTGAATTAAGGTACTACACACCTCAACAACGCTCACCTTTTCTTATTCTCTACCACCCTGCAGCCAGAGGAGCTGGGCCCACACTTTGGCCAGATGAGCCTGAATCGGCAGACGTCGGGTGACACGCTGGATGCCATGCAGCCGCACGGCCACGCGGCCATGTGCCCTGTCATGGTGCAGGGCTCCCATCAGCCTGCCTACATCGGAGTGTCTGGCATCTCAGGCCTGCTGCACCAAGGGGGCTTCCACATGGGAGCATCAGCAGGACCCACAGGGCAGGGCAGTACTGGGCAGCAGCCAGGCCTGCAGCAGCACCAGCAGCAGCAGGGCTATGGGCAGGCCCAGCAGCATGGTCAGGTGCGGTACCACGTGCCACATGCACGGGTGTGTGTGTGCATAAATGCATGTATGATAGTTGTGTGGTGAATACAATAATTGCAGAGTTGACCAGTCTCTATTGTCTGCAGTTTCAATGTTATTTTGTTTGACTAGTTTGTTGTTTGTAAACAGATGCGGCCACCAAATCTTGAATTTCTCAGTCTCAATGAAGCCCCTGTAAGGCCAAGAATCCCAATTATAAGTTAAATAGTTTTTGCAACTTGAGTTTTTCTTTGCAACTGTTAAAACACGATACAATTTTTACCAACGTGTTTTACATTTAAGCCAAGATGCATTCATCTCCAAAAGGAATTTGAAACATTTTAATTATATCATTCACCATTAACGCATGTGACCTCAATCTTCAAATGCATGGGTGTATTTTACATTTTCTGTCCATTAACTCTTTACGTCTAGGTCGCTTCTAACCTATCTTGACGGCTGTTGTCGTTCCATGCAGATGACCGTTTACTTCTGCCCTCCATCCCCATATCCTCCACCGGGGCAGCAGTACCGGGGTGGAGCTACCATGCAGTATAGTGGTTCTCGCGGCCAGCAGCCGAGTGAGGCCACGCACACACACAGACACAAACCAACTGTTGCTCGAATTCTGTATCTCACCCACTCATTGTCCCAGAGCCGTGTGGCTGGATGTAGTGTAAATGCTCAGCAGTGTATGCCGTAAGATTACAGTAGTCAGGATACCCTTACCACAACACATACAGATTGGGCCATGATGCAGCGTTTTTTGGGTCCACAAATCATGTTATTTGAATGTGAATTGTTTATTTGTTCATCTGCATCATAAATAGGTAATTGATGCATTAATTGAGATAAGTCTCTTACGAGAGATGCGTGGGCTCATATTGAATGGTCATAGAAGAAATGTGTTTGGATGGGAGTTGGTGTAAGATATCCACTGATTTACTCCATTCATTACCAGTTGCACACGTACGTAATATATATGGAGAATCTCATGAATTTCGGTTTAATAATATATCACAGTGGTGTAGTCCAGAGAATATAACCCTATTCCTCACTGAAGGGTATGTTCACATTGGATAGGCACTCTAAACACACCTCAAGAAGCACTGAGGCAGCATCGTCTAACTGATGCGTTTGCCCTCGTTCTCATAAAGCCTTTGCTTCTGCCAAAAAAGGCAGGCATGGAGCAGCAGCTTCGGTGCGAAGGTGAGTGATGATGCCACACATTTGGGCAGCAGCAGCTTTTGGCCCGAAATCCTCCATCATTGACAGGGGTGGCACATTCAGTGCACGCACACAAGCACACACGCTGGGGGACGCAGCAGAGCCGTGCGGCCGGGGGTGCCTGAGGAGGAGGCCGCAACGCTGCCTGGGAGTGATGAGCCCTGTCCTCTCACAGTGAACCGGTCTCTTTCCCTGGCAGCCCACAGTGCAGCAGTGCACAGCATCGCCCACGGGGGGGTACTTTGTTGAAGCAAATGAGTAGCTCCTGCACACATAAAATACAATTCAGTGAGCCTATCTTTGTTAGACTCGATAGCCATTTTATCATACCATGTGCTTGCTTTTATTGGTTGGTTACCATAGAATTTTACCAATGCGTTTTTAATTGCTGTTTTATTTGAATGTATATGTTGTATGTTGTGTGGATTGAATTCCAAGAATACCAGGTAGAATTTATATTTCTGAAACAATATTAAAGGTACTGTAGTGGATGCATAGATCTGAAACAAATGTTCCAATATAAGAGCCCATTGGGAGAGTCTCTTGCAACACAGAACTGAGATGACTAAAAATGTAATAAAATATGGGAGCGGAGTGCAATGTTGGCAAAAAAATATTTAATAATTAAACATTACAGAAACATAACTAACATATGACAAAAACCTTGTTTTAGAATGCCATTTACACGTCAAAAATGTGGATGCGCGCAGGTTATCAGCCCGTGGGTGCGGTGCCACAGCCTGCCTACGTGAGCATGCAGCCGCCGCCGGGCCAGGGCATGATGCCGGGGCAGCAGGGAGGCCTGGCGCACCCCATGCCTGGGGCCCTGGGAAGTCCAGTGCAGGGGCCCGTTGGTAGCACCTTGCAAGGGATGATGAGCCACTACCCTCCGATGTCGGCGTATCACGTAAGGCGGCTTGATCTACGCTGCTCGCTCACTAGGTGGCAGTAGAGGCCTTGCTCATCGGCATGACTACAAATTACAATTAATTGTATTTTCAGATACGATTTAAGAACTTGCTTAATTTCCATTGAGAATGTAAATGGCACTGTAGTACACATATTGGATGGCTTGTCATGTCAGTTCTAATGTAATTTGATTGGTCATCGCATGCAATCGATGGTTTTGCAAATGATTAAAAGTTGCCGAGTAAAGGTGCTATATACGAAATAATGTGGTAATGACGTTTTTACGGTTAAAAGTGTATTTAACACATCTTAAATATATATAGTACATTATTGAGGGTAATACATTTACAAGATGTCTGCCAGACTCAAGGGTTCACAATTTGCATTGTGTGTGTTCTCTGCTTCCCTTTTTCATGATGTTTAATCAGATGGCTCAGGCTGCCCCCTTGGGGCCCGTGCCCCCACCCCCTCCCCCTCAACAGCAGTACCAACAGCCCGTGCTCCTCAGTGGACAGCCCCACGGCACCATGCCTCCCATGTTCTGCAGCATGGGCCAGCCGGCCCTGCAGAGCAATCTCAGGTACACTGCAAGCACGATGCCAGTTGGCGTATCCCCACTTCTCTAGCTTTCCCTGCCCGACGCTCGGGAAGCTTCGTGGGAGGCCTTTTTGTGTCGGCATCATTCCACTGCAGGCGTGATGTTCAGCCTAATTACCACCTTTGTCAAGGTGCAAATGTATGTACTAGCACACTTTCAATTCGTGATATGTCCTTTAACAGAAAATCTGCAGTAAATAACATTATCCACCTGGAATTCATGCATTATGCATCAGCCTCAGATTTTTTTTTTTTCTTGGCAAAACCGGCCACATGAATGTTTTTAGATACCATTCTTCAGCACAATTGTTGGCATAATCTTTATTCTACCTTCCCGGTGTTTTCTGCTTTATTTATATCATGAACTTTAGTCACAATTGAGGAGACCACCCGCATGTGTTATGTAAAGAATGCACCTTGTGTGATCCAGGATGCATAGATAAGATGTTTAACCTCATGTATTTGTGTGGCTTTACTTAGGAATGTAAACATACTTGATAATGTGCCTTATACTTGACATGTAACCTTCGTTATACTTATAACTGTGAAGATCTCAATTGCTGTGACCAAGGTGCCGAGACCACTGTTTTGAAATCATCTTCATCGCAGCCTATTGTTTTTACTGTGACAAATGCAATCTGTTCAAGTCCTACAAGGAATGTGTCTGTTTATTTGTCAATCTAGAAATCTGGATCATGGTCTGTCTTGCAAAATAATCGTATAGTCTCAAGTAATTGTCATCTTAGTCAAAGTAATAGATGTATTCAAAGCAAATACTACTTGGAAAAAATATATTTCGAAGGCTAATCAAACAATAGATTAAATTATTTTCTGCTGTCTAGTTAATCAGACTTCCCTACCTGTTTCATTTAGTTTCATTTTCTAAGTCTGTTTTAATGGCCTTTTGCCAAATAGCATATGCTCACCCTGCACATTCTGGTGTGAATTTGTGTCGTGACAATCGGCCGGCAGTGGTTCAGTTCTAGGCTACCTGCAGCCCCCTGGCATGGAGCAGCTGCAGTTTCCAAGAACTCAGTCCCCTGCCGCCTCCCAACCCCCACACGGGCAGCACTACGCAGGTGAGACCGTGGCATCACAGCCACTCCACAGTGCCACCATTGTACACCGGCGAATACGCGCCCTGCTCATCATTAGCTGCATGTGTCTAGAGGCGATGGTTTTCAGCAGGTCAGTCCGGTCTGGACTGACTTCATCAACTCTGTGCCTTGTTTACATTACCAAAAGGAATGTTCTTTCCAGCACTCTGATGTATTTTCAGGTTCTACCCGCACGATGCCCGACGTTTCGCCCCACATGCATCGGAGAGCTATACAGCAATAACGTGATAAACCTGTAGAGTATAGTTCTCTCCAGTTTTTGTGTGTGGCCAAATACCGAGTGTTTGTCAGCAGGGAGTCGATAATGTCATGTTTATTTTTCCTTTTAACTCTGGGGTTTTGGTGATCATAGCCATACATTTTATGTGAGTCAACCTGGTTCTCAGGCTGACTATATGACCACTTCATTCTGTTTCAGTTATTACCAATTCTGTTATGACCACTTGTTTAGAACTTGTTTTAGCATTAAAATGGGTTTAATTTTCCTTCTGATCTACTAGGAATTATTCAGACCAAGCTCCTGAGTGTTTGCAAAGCTATTGAGGCCAAGGATTCTGAAGAATGGATCCGTTTATTACATAAAATACTCATTCCAATGAATGGTAATAGTAAAATTAAAGGGGAAAAATCTAGTAAATTTCTCAAACACGATAAAGCATTTACAAATCAGGTCGATCATAAACTAGAACAACAGCATTGTGGCACCTGTTCTATGTAATTTGTGTTAAACAATAACGTTTATTTTAAACTGGGATGGAGAAGCTCTGAGTGTCGATTTTTTTTATTTCCATTGAACAGCAGGGTGTTGATTAATGAATGTCTGTGCTGCATGTGCATGTTTGTTTAATGTCTGCCTTGCACGCCCAGTGTTCGGCTACGTACAAGGACAACGGCCGCCCTCGCCACTCGTGCAGCAGCATCAACATCATCACCATGGGCTGGCGCAGGCTCACAGGGGCCCGTCCGCAAGCCACGTTCCAGCGGGACTCTCTGGAGGCCCACCTACTGCCGCGCCAGCATCGCACATGGGCTCTAAGTCCCCGCCCACGGCGCTCACCCTCGTGCCAGGTGCGCGCATGCCGCGGTCAGTGGCCCAGCGTGCCCGTGTCAGAGGACGTCCTTTCTGAATAGAGGACCTACGAGCTCGTTCAATCCGCTCAGCCAGGCACATGGCAGCTGTTAGGGCCCCGATTTGCAATATATTGTTCATAGATCACGTGCGTGACACCCGCCTGCATGGCCGTGATGTGATCTGTTTAAGACATTTGAGAGTTTTGTTCACCTACCTATGCATATTGTTGAATATTTCCATTATAGGAGTGGAATTTCTACAGGTATTCAAGTTTCATCCCACACACAGAATACTTGGCAGAGAGTTGGCCAAATATCCTATGTAAGACCCTCTTGATAGAAGTGTCTTAAGACTTTTTTGAGGTAAATTGGTAAATAAAGCTCTTTCTTCGATGTTATATTTAAGTAAATGTGCTGCTATGTCATGCATGTTAGGTGAATGTTAATGCAAAGTAATTCAGTAAATACTGTTACTTCACTTGTTTTTATTGGGGTCGTTTGTATCTCACGGTTCTTGCAATACTTTATGGCACAAGGCGCACTCTAAGCGAGTCAAAGCACAGGCGTTCTTACACAACAACTAATCCAGCGGAAAATGTCTCGCTTTTAGCAGAACACACAATTGATGCCACAGAATCACAGAGACGTAGGTGCGCGCACTGTGTGTAAAGTGTACACATCACCGTAAACATTTGTAATGCAGAGAATGTTTTGTTGCAAATTTCATAACATTAAAACTATTGAGGTATTCCTCATCAGAGTGGGCTGGTTTTTTTCTGCTCAAGATAAGAGGGTGTATCTTGTCTTTTAAGGTGTAAAATCCATTTTAAATCCATATGACACGTTAGCTTCGATTGCTGCTTTCATTTCTGCAGCTCGTGAAATGAGTTGTACTGCACAAAAACTCTCAACCAGGTCGAGGCATCCTCAGGGAGAGGGTGGATGGAACCTGTCTGCTGCAGAAACTACATTTCCATCTCCTCTGGGCTTTTGTGTGTCCTTTATGAAGGTCGAACAGGATGCTACATTAATAAACAAGCCAACTTCCACTCCTAAATACGTTATAAACAATATAAAATAACAGGAATAAGCAGCCGCTGACCGATTTGAACTACAGAAAATAATACAAAGCAGCATGAACACAGGTGGTCTTGTTTTACATGAGAGTTAGTGTTTTGATAGAAATGTCACCCTCATTTGCTGCATATAATTAATGTAGGTTGTGCATAAAATAACATGATTATTTAGTCAGGAAAGCTTCACTTGGTTTCAATCATCTTTCATGATACCCTGCTTTGGGATATATAACCCATTAATTATGAGGTGTTTATGTGGGACAAAATCTGAGTAACCAGAGAATCCACACTCTAAAATAACAACCTACTTGCACTACCACCTAGAGGAACCTCACTATCGGGTGGTTTGTACGCATAATCCCTGCATCACCCACCAACCCTACCTTGAAGTGATTGGATCACAGAGGCATGTTTGCGCTGGCATAAATATCCTTGTAACGTTTTGCTTTTATTTGTGTCATGCTTTGCACAAGCTTAGGCCATTGTTGTTCCATCTCATAAAAAAAAAAATCAGATTTGATCATTACCTGAGTAATAAGTGGCTCTGACATGGTACGTAACTTCAAGATATTTATTAAATCTTCGGTACAGCCACTTCTCTCTCTCCGCGGATGTCGACCCGCTCTCGTGCCTGCGCTGCCCCGCGCCACGTGGCGCTCACCCCGCTCGCTAACGCACCGCTGGCTGGCGGCACGCTATGAAGCGGCTGAGCAGCTGGAGGTCGAGCCGCCACGTGACAGGTGGAGATGGCGGGGCAGCAGCGGCGGGGAGCTCCTCTTCGATCTTCAAACACCGACCCCTAACGTTGCTGTACCCCCTGCTTATATTCACTCCTCAGAGGCTAAGCCCCGCCTCTGGCCACGCCCCCCCTGGAACCTTTGAAAACGTTCCAGAGGCTTCCCTGCTAGATCCGCCCATTTGCCTTTTCCCCAGATATAATCCCTACTATGGATAATACGTGGACTATATCAACCTGTAAATGTAACCCCCACAATGCAGGAGATGGCGCTCTCTTATTTCATCACCCCCCCCCCCGTGATGAGAAAATCTAGCCGTCCCGGCTAAGGAAGGATAAAAACGTAATACGGAGCACCATCAGCAAATGAGCATAGAACCCAACACGGAATAACGAAGAATAAGGGATGCCCCAACAATAAACAAACACGTAACGACAACAATACTGAATAGGAAAACGGACACGCAAGTTAGAGACCAAAGTCCATCAAGAAAATTGCAATGTCTTGCAGCGTGTATTCCTAGCCAGGCCATTCGCCTGAGGTGGAACCAATACAGGAACACCCCCAGGTGGAAGCAGCGGTCCGGTAGGGGGAGACACAGCCGGATCCAAAGCACGTGGGCATGGCAGGATAGGGGTGTCCACCGGTCCCGCCGTCTCACTTAAGGGCGCTGTGGGCAGTAAAGAAACTAACTTCGGAGGATCACCTCGCACAGGGGTAGCAGGCAGGTTGGACACGTCAGGCACCGGGAACTCGGAATCTGGAGATGACGATGGCCCAACAGGAGCAACAAACGGCTTCAATCGTGATGGGTGAATAAACCCCAGCGGCCGTGACGAATGCGAACACACTTCGGACGCAAAACCTCGACAATTGCCACCAGGCCCTGCCATGGTTTGTGGAGCTTAGGAAAGGTGCCAACTGCCACCTGCGGGCAATGAAGCCATGCCTCGTCCCCAACAGACCATGGCATGTCGCCTTTGGACCTCCGCGAATAACGTTAATTTCGTGCCTGGGTCCTGGAGGTATTCAACCTGGCAGTCTCCCGCGCCTCAGAAACTTGTCTAAGGGACTCTTGAACATGGTCGAGAAGAGTTGTCTTAGGTGGCATAACCGGGGAACCCAATTGAACATCAACGGGGTGGCACATTCTCCCTCCCGTACATGAGGAAGAACGGAAAATACCCCGTAGAAGTGTGTGGCGCCATCCGGTAAGCAGAGAGGACACTGGGTATCTGCAAATCCCAGTCAAGCTGCCTCTCATTGACTGTTTGGCATAGCATGGCGGACAAAGTACAATTCAACCGCTCAACCATACCATCCGTCTGAGGATGGTAGGGAGACGTACTAATCTTCCTGGTCCCCAAGGCATTGCAAACGTCGCGCAACAACTTGGAATAAAAGTTCCTACCCTGATCGGTGAGCAACTTTTCCGGCGCCCCTTTATTCATCACGTAGCCATTCACAAAAGCGTCAACGATGGATAAAGCCGATTTATCTGGCAGGGGCCAAGCCACAGGCCAACGAGAAAAATATTCGACGCCGACGAGAAGAAATGTATTCCTGCGAGGTGTAACAGGGAACGAACCCAACACATCCAAGGCAACCAATTCATTAATGCGCGTGATCGAAATGGATTGCAAGGTCAGAATATAACGCTGCTGGGGCGATTTCCTCTGGGCACACTCGGTGCACGATCGAAGTGCACTAGTGACGTCAGATGTCATTTTAGGCCATATAATAATCCCTCTGCAGAGTGAGCAACGTTTTCTGAACGCCAAGATGGAAAAGGTGCTCTCACTATGCAATGAGCGGATCAAACCGGCACGGAGAGAATCCGGCTCAACCAATTGGAGCCGGCGCGACGTGTCATCCTGCCACATCAACAACCCCTCATGAACCAAAAATCGACCCGACTTAATAGAATCAAAATCACCCGCGGCCGGTACGGGCAATTGCCGCAAGGAGGTCAAAGAGTAATCTGAAAATTGTTCGCGCAACCACACCGTACGTGGGAGGCGCAACACACAATCGGCAGGAGGGAAATCCCCGTTTCGTCCGGAAGCATCTCAACTGCGGACATGACTAAGGGCCGAGACTCGTCATGGAGAGTACAGCGGTTCGTACTGGAGCGGCAAGCACAGCAAGACGCGTGTGACAACCACAACAACGCGTCAGCATTAGTGTGACGAGCCCCCTTCCGGTAGGTGACATCAAATGTAAATTCCTGCAAGCACTCCAACCAGCGTGCCAACTGACCGCCTGGCTGCTCGATTTTCAATGAATATTGGAAAGCCGCATGATCAGTGCGGATAACAAACTACCTGCCATATAAATAGGATCGAAAAAGTCGCACAAAATGAACGATCGGCAGCAACTCTGGATGTGTGACGCAATAGCGGGTTTCTGCCGGCGAGAGCACCCGACTACGGTACATGACGATGCGTTCGACGCCTCCCTTCATCTGTGACAGGACAGCCCCGATGCCCGTGTCGCTGGTGTCAAGGATGAAGGGGGACGAAAAATCAGGGCAGTCGAGAGTAGGCGCGTCAGACAACCGATCCCGCAGGGTATGAAAGCAGCATCCTCCTCCGGTCCTCAGCGAAAACGCTGATTCTTAGCCATGAGCGCATGCAACGGTTTCGCAATGGAAGCGAACCGAGGGATGAACTGGCGGTAATAGGAGGCGAAGCCAACAAAGCTCCGTGCATCTCCCACACTCTCGGGAACCAGCCAGTCATGAACGCACACCGTTTTGGTAGGATCGGTAAAAATGCCGTCCGCTCTCACAATGTGGCCCAAATATCGAACGGAAGTCTGCAAGAGGTGACACTTTTTAGGCTTGAACTTGAGATTCGCCGAGCGCATCCGCTCAAAAACAGCGCGCAGCCGGAGAAGGTGGTCATCAAACGACCGGCTGAACACAATAACATCGTCCAGATAAATTAAGCACGTGTCCCATTGGAGACCGGCCAGGACGAGCTCCATGAGTCGTTGGAACATGGCAAGAGCAGCGTTCAATCCCATCGGTAAACAATTAAATTGAAAGAGGCCTTGCGGAGTTCGGAACGCGGTTTTCTGCCTCGAAGACTCGTCGAGAGGCAGTTGCCAAAACCCAGAAGATAAATCAAGAGTCAAGAAAAACTGCGCTCTGGACAAAGCATCCAAGGAGTCGTCCATCCGC